TGTATCTTTAATGGTATAGCAAGAACACTGACATAAGAAACAGCTGTGGCTATCAAAGGAGCGATTTATAGTAGTGAGTAATACAGAGGGCCCTGTGGAGCCTGCACTGTCATAGCAGCTATTCTGAAGATTAAGGTAGAACGTACACCTAAGACCCTTCTTAAACCAGTCCTTGCTTTCCAGAGTATAAAGGAGCTTCTCTCTCGTTCCTCTTCTGATTCCTACTAGTCTTGGTGGTAACTTATTACAAGAGACTTCTGTGAGGATTCACCTAGAAGGTGCTGCAATACCCTCTATGGAAAGTTCTGATGAGTCTAGTTATAAAACCCAAACTATAAAAGATTATTATAGCTCAACTTGGCCAATACATCTAAGAGTGCACTCTGATTTAAAAGTAATTGTTTTGTGTGCGCTAAATGTTTCTCATTGGCTTATCTGCCTGTTAAATTGTTTTAATAAGTAGTTACAATACCTGCAGCTGCTTCATTGAAGATTTTTTTGAGCTCATATTAATTTCAATTTTCTCTTTTTACTTTTGAGGCTCTTCTGAGACTTTTCCCCAAAAACTGATTGTATAGGTTTTCAGGGAAGCCAAATACACTTTAAAATTAGAGGGTACAAAATCTAGTAGGCTACAGACCTATGAGGCTTACAGGTGAAAACATTAGGGTTTGATAACGTAAAGGTTATATATGATTAGGTTAATGTGTGTGTTTCTGCGTGTAAACTTTCAGATGTATATTATCCTCCAAAAGTTCTACATAAATTAGCACACAGATAAATAAGCACACATGATTTAGCCCAAATGTTTATTGTTTATGTGGCTTAACAGCTGGTTAATTAAATTCATTGGTAAAGGTAACAATATCTTAAAGTGACATATTTCCATATGGATTGTCAGCCAATCAAGATAATATTAAAAAAATTGGTGTTTTAAATGCAATGTCTGTTGTCCGTAACAATACTTTAGGAATTTTCCTTGGTTAGAGATAATATGTATAGCTTAAAGGATGTTAATTGCTAGATTTTGTTCTAATGAATCATCTAAAGTAATTGTTAAGATGAGTAGTTGGGGACCCTTTGGATTTGTGAAGCCATTGGACACAACCCACTCTGTAGCTTAAGCAGCAGCTGCCTGAAGTGATTTGTTCAGTTTTTTTCACTGATGGGTGAATTCTTTAGTTTTTCTAAGAGTCTTGCTGTGGCATACCCTTACGAATATTAATAAATAATTATAAGATATTTAAGTTGGCTATAATCAAAAGGTTAAACTTTCTATGTCTAAAGCAATAAGGTGTTCTTAAGATAATAGCATGTCCCTGCATGTACTGGTGGTATATGCATGACTGTTCCATCTGGCATCTTGTACCACTGCTGGTTGGTTATTTAACATCAGACAATGGAATTCAAATCAGAGCCATCCACGATGTACAAATTATTGCCCCATCATGACTGTGTTAAAATGCTTTTGGCTCAACTTACAAAACTAGATTAAAAAAGCAAAGGTTCTATGTTTTACTAAATTCTTGTGTGTTCTATTAATAGGCCTTTGGTTACTAAAGACTGAGTTTTAAGAGCTAAAGATTATTTAAATGTTGTCTTGTAAAATGTTTTCCATGATCAGTTTATGATTTGTTGAATAAACAACTGTTATCTTAGTTTATGAGATAACTACATGTCTGGGAATATATATAAAAAGAAGATAAGCTATGAGTCTAAGCTTTAAAGTTAAGCTTACAGAGGAGTACATAAGATTAATACATACAAAGTAACTAATAGGTGCTGTCTTTTAATACAGTATACATCCATACCTTAGACAGAAAATGATCAAAATTTTTGTCATGTCTTTAAATGTGGTTCTGCATTTAAAATTTGATCTGTTGCTTCTCAGCTCTTTGGCTAAGATCAAGTGTAAAACTTGATCTCTGTCTACTGATTTTGATTACATTCTGATACTTTATAAATGAGATACAATTGTATGTTGAGTTATAAGTCCATTTGTGACCAGTAACACTATTTCCTAAATCTATAAAAGGTCTAAAAGTGTCCTTTAATTTTTGTCAGTGCAGTTACACCCTGTCAGCCTGTTAAAGGAGTCTCAATTTTGCCTTAAGAGTAAGAACTAAATATGTACAGTGTATGCAAAGATTTCTGTGTCGCTGTGATGCTAGTCATTGCTAACTTCATGGTATATTAAATACACTTGTGTTTCCTAAGTGTATAGGATTTCAAGGATGCAAAATTTGGGAAAACTTCTCATCATACCAATGACCTCCACGCTCAAGTTGTCTGTGGTGTTGAAATTTTCAGACTCATGCTTGTGTGATTGTTATGTAATTGTGTTATTATAGTTAAATATGCTTAAAAATATGCAACCCAGCCAATGTCACTGTATAGATTAAAGATTGGCATTAATAACCTTTGAAGTACTTTTATATACAAATACACTCTGGTTAAATGATACTCTTTTATAAGGTAACAAATTTAAGTAGAAGTTTCTTTATGTCAAGTAATTTTTTTGGTGGAGGGGGGAGTCTATTTTTTTGAGATAGAGTCTCGCTATATATTCCAGGCTAGCCTCGAATTGAGTACGTAGCCCAAGTTAGCTTCTGACTCATGGCAGTTCTCCTGCTTCAGCCTCCAAGTGCTGGGATTATAGGCATGCGCCACCAAGCCTGGAAGAATGTCATTTAATATTTTGTAATGGGATAGAGTTTAATAACTAAAAAGCTAGTTTATACTAAAATTGGAATTTAAATGTACTTTTAGAGATTAAAAAAATTGGTCATGTTAAATGCAGAGAGCCACCTGTGATTGGTGGCCACTAAACAGATGATTAATTCCCGTGCTCCATACAATGTTCCGGACCAAGGGGCCAAGTGGAAATTCCACTTTTCAGATTCACCTCCTGGAGAAACCAGGAGTCTTTTTTCTTCGCCTTATTTCCAGTAAGAACTCTCCTAAGTTTCTCCTTTGACTCTGTGAGAAACCTGAGCTCGGTTTGCACAGAATTGAGCATTTCACTACTTGAGAGCAAAGTGTGCGATGTCTGTTTCGGAACCACTTCCGGGGTCAGCAGCACGCAGATGGTTTCCGGTCCCTCTGTCTCTGTCACTGGGTGACCCTGAGATGTGAGGAGAAGTTTCTGAAGAGGTCAAGCCTCTCTGGACAAAGAGGCAAAGCTGAATGTGGCGGACTAATTTTGAGTAAGCACAGGCAGATACAAACAATTGATATTCTTTCACCTTTTTCTGTTAGAACATGTTCATAATAGAAAGTTGCGGAAGAAGGCTTGAGTTTTGTTCTAGTTCTTCTTCCTTCCCTTCTCTTGCTCAGTGTAGCATAATAATTTAGTTGGCTATACAGTTCTTGGCAGACTCTGCTTTCCCTCAGCATTTTAAAGACATTAGATCACCGTCCTCTGACGTCCATTGTAGCAGCTGGGGAGCCTCTTATGACTCCGTTATCCTTCTGTAGATAATCTGAATTTTTCTGATTGATTTAAAACTGCTTTGTGTTTAGCATAAAGTTTATTCTTTACTTTTAGGTTATAGTGCCTTTTATTTTTAAGTTTAGGTGTCTTATGTCTTTGAATTCATTTTGTCTTACAAACCTAAGGATTCACTCATCAATGTTGGAAAATATTCAGACATTATCACTTCCGCCATTACCTTCCACTCAACTTCTTTCATAATTCTTTCCTCAGGAAGTATTACTAAACTTATATTTGCTCTTCTGTTTCTAATATCTCCTTGTCTCAACATCTAATTAGTACCTTCTATTTCTTTATTTCTCCCTGGATGATTTTCTCAATGTTATTTCCTAATTTAATATTCTCCCCTTTATTTTGAGAAAATCCATTTTATTCTTTTTAATATCTGTTTTACTATCTATTGTCCACTTGGCAAAATATTATGAGGAAAATAATTATATTTATTACATCATTCTTCATCCCTTCTTTCTTCTTTCCTGGAATGGAGATATGATGCTTGGGGATTTAGCAGCCACTTATAACCATAAAGCACATTAAGTAAAGCAAAATTAAAGATAGATATGTTCCTGAACACTGATAACATCGTAGTAGTTTATGCTAACCTTATAAATCCTACTCTGTAAAAATAACCCCAGATTGAGTCTGTTCTATATAAAAATTAAATTCCAATGAATGAAACAATACTGACAATGTTTTGTTATATTTACATATAATGATTTTGCATGAGTGTAACCAAAATGGCAATAGATCTTATTTCTGGGTGGTGAAATTGCAAGTCATCTTGATCTTTTTTTAGTATTTTTCTATGTCATCATTAGCCTTAGTTGATGAAACTGTCTTATGCTATTGGTAATGACAATAGCTACAGTTTATTGATGAATTTATATTGTGTCAGATACTGGAGAAGAGGCTTCAATGTATTATCTCACTATCAGATTACCTCACTTAATATGTCTGAAGATGAAAATGCGTATTCACTTTAACTAATAAAAGCATAAATTAGGAAAATTAGAAAACATGGTATCATTTAGATCTGAAATGTCTCCCAAAGTCCCAGAGATGGGGCTTTTGAAAGGTGATTGGATCATAAGGTGCTATAGTCATCAGCAAGTGAAATAACTAAATGTGCTGATAGGAGGTGACTACTGTGGGGAGGTATGTACCAGGGCACAACTTACAAGGGTGGGGTCTTGTCTGGCTCTTTCCTTTCTCTCTCTGCTTCCTGGTGCCATAGTACAAGCAACTTCCTTCTTTCATGTTTATGCCTTGGGGCCAGCTGACCATGGGTTGGACCCACTGAAGCCATGAGTCAAAATAAACCTCCTCTCAGCTTAAAAGCTGAGGGTGTTGAGTATTTTGTCCCAGTAATGGGAAAGTGACATCCAAAGTAATCACATATTATTTCACTATCTAGGTACTGAGCTTATTTTAAATTACATTTATAATAAAATTTTCCAAATCTTAAGGAATTTTAATTTCATTTTTTCTTTTCTTTTTTTCAAAATACCTGGAGGTAGTCTCTGGGCTGGTTTCTGCTTTAATGGTAATTTAGGATTCCATGAGGCATCTACTTTTCCTCCAAATGCAATTGATTGAATGATATGAGCCTTTTTGTGGTTAAAAATGGTAATCATTGATCTTCTTTCTTTTTCTGTAACTTCTGATAAATACAAAAAGTACTATTACTGCATAATACTGGATTGTAAATACATATACACAGTGGCTCAAAACAGAATTGAAGGCTTTAAAAATGTATTAAAGTGAAGTAGATTATGTGCACATCTTGCCATTTTAGATTCATAAAGGGGCTCACAGTTATTTCTATAATCTTACAAACTCTTATTATACCTTCCTTGCATTATAAAACTGAGCTCAGTCTTTCAGTCTAGTGCATCAGGGGCACTTTCTGACACGTCACAGAGATGAGTGACATCCCAGCATGTCATATCCCTTATTTCCTGGGGACCACTGAGAAGAAGAGATACTGCCACAAGGCTTTGGTGTATCTCAGAGAAAAAGTAGCTCAGTAATAAGAAAATTCAAGAGCTGTGAGTGTTGCTCAGTGGCAGAGGACTTGTGTAGCATCAGTGGGGCCTTGAGTTCAATAACCAGTATCACCAACAAGCAAACAAGAATGTTCAAATTTGGAGATAAAATAGGTCTTAAAAATGCACAATGTAGTGAACTGACATTGATTGTATATATGTGGCTTATGTAGACTAAACACACTAGTTTATCTCTAGTGTATGAAAATGTATTATAAAAAGTTACCATAGATTAGGTCAATTTAAATAATAAAAATTTACAGAGTTTCAAAGAGAATAAATTAGAATTTACATAGTACTTAAGAGACTTAGTCCAATTCCCTCATTTTTCAGATAAGGAACTAAGGTGCCAGAGAATCAATGACTTGGCATCTGATACGTTAATGTCAAAAGCAGGACTAGAAGGAAACCCTTCCTTGTACCCAGCTACATGGCCTTTCTAGTAAACTGAGATAGAAGCATGCATCCTAAACTAGGACACATTTCAGAATGCAAATATCTAAAAAAATAAATATTTAAAAACCTTCAATTTCAGACAGTTACTTAGCAGTATTCATTTACAAAGACAAATTTTCAATGGCGTGCTGCATTTTTAAACTACGAAGTTGTAAGACTGCTTTTCCAATATTCTCTGCAATAAAGAATTGTCCTTACGATTTCTGTCAAGTAGCTCTACTCCTGGGAGGTGGTATATTATATACAAACGGTACAAGTTATATTGGCACAAAGGGTTTTGGTACAGACCTGCAAAGGAAAAATCCAAAATAAGGTGTCAGATTTAAAAGTTAGTTGTATTTATCACTTGATAAAATAGGAGAAACTGAAGAACGCATGTACAGCAGACATAAAAAGCTCCAGTGCATACCAAGCCAATGGCTCCAGCAAACCCCTACTTGTTCAGAGCAGCCTTTTAATTTTATTACCTGCTAAGTTCACTCATTCAACAAAGTACCACTACTATCTAAGTACCACTACTATCTACTAAACACTGTGCTAGGTGCTGAGGGTATATCACTGACCCGAATCTGCCACAAATGGGAAAAATGTTAAACTTCCATAGCAAATTTGTAAAGCAAGAATGAAGTATTGGATCTGTGGGAATCTTGAAGCTGCTTTTGATTACAGTATCATGTGGGACTTAGTGCGTGGCTGGACACAAAGGTGCGGTGCACTGTCCCAGTAGAACTTTCTCCCTCCACTTCACACCATTACGCATAATTCAAAATATGGGAATGCTGACAACAGCTTCAGACCTGCATAGGAGCAGAGCTCAGCACATCTGGATGCTGCGTCTCGTCCATCTCTGGCCAGACACCCGCTGCTCTGGGATCCTGGAGTGCAGGGGCTGGCATGCCTCACAAACTTGACTCTCCATGAAGTGACCAGAGGAGGCTGGTGTGCGGGGTGCAGGGAGCTCCTGGCAGTTGTACCCTCACAGACCCTTAGCAAGCAGCACGGAGATGCAGTTTTTCAATTCCCAAGTGGACGCCGTGAGGGTCTTACTTTCAAGTAGTCTTCTATGTATTAATGCTTAGATACTATCAAACAGGATTAGGTCAACAGTATAAAGTAAAGCTTTTATCACTTCCAGTTGGGCATCTTTAGCTGCTTCTGTGTGATTTCTAGAGTCTTTGGACTGCTTCTATGTGATTTCTGGAAAATACTTCCAAAAAGGACACATAGTGAGAAGATCCACTAGATGGCAGTAACAGAAAGCGCTCCAGCTCCTGACAGTCTGCATCCCTCAACAAAATGAGGCTCACTTACAGTACTCAGAGCTGAGTACTGAATAGTATCGACTATTCATGAAATTCAGAGAAGCTTAATAAAGGCACGATATCGTTAAGCATTAGAAATCCAGGAAAAACTGATTAATATTTGTCAAGCACAGTTTGCTACACAAAGAAGATTGGAAGAAGCATGCTTAAAAGACAACAAACTAGTTAAAAACTGAAAGCAAATCAGTCATCTGGATTTTTTCTTTTTTTTGTAGGTAATAAAGCATTCTGATTTCTTGTATAAAATTTTTTCTGGCTAATAAAATCCTTATATATAACTATTCCCCGTGGAAAGCAGGAGTGTTAAAAGGACATAAAGCAGGCAATGGAAGACACCTGGTACATAACAAACAAAAGTTATCAGAGTGAGGAAAGGCATAAAAATATGTAGAGCCAGGAGCAACAAAGACACTAAAGAAAGGAAATGCATATGTATTGGGGAAAGTGAGAAGTAAAAAGGAACGAAATTTTTCAGGATTCCGTAAGCGACAAAAATGATTTGAATTTTGTCCTTAAAAGAAGTGGAATTTAAGCTGGGAACAATAATTATAACTACAGAATAGGGAATAGAACGGATATATATATATGAAAGCAGTAATAAGGACAGATTTAAACAGTCCCACAAGGATCATGCATTGTAGTTTGAGCCAGGAAAAGTAAAGGGCATCCTTGAAGGATATAAAAGCAAAACACAATTGCTTTTAATGAGAACTTAGGAGGGAGAAAAAGTCACAAATGTTTTAGTGCAGAAGGCTGCTCTGGGGTTACTGTCTTGGGGAATCACATCTGACACACCTCATTACCCTGTATTACATTATACCAGCTGGAACTTGAGTCTGCCTTTGCACGGGACATTGATGGAAAATGTACCAGCATCTTGCAGTGGTGGTTACTCTCGACGGACCCTTCACACTGTCTTTGCCCTCCCAGAATATTACTGTTTCACTTCTTGGCTATATCTTTGAATTCCTAGCTAAGTAACTTCGTTATGTAAAATTAAAGCCCTAGCTTCAGTTAAACAGAGCACAAACCTTAGAATTACGTTACATGACTTATTAACAAGGTGTCACCACTCTGAAAACTCAGTGTCCTTGTCTTGGGTCTCCATTCATCTCGTCTTATTGTAAAATCTGAATGACAGAAAACTGAGCTGCTAGTCCAGCCTCTGCTCATATGAGCTTAAAAAAAAAATAGAAGTAAATAATTTGAAAGTCATTTTATCTTTATTATCTCTCATTTTTTTCCCTAGCTCTTAAATTGTAGAAGAAAGCCGTCTTCTTCGCTACCTTTCCCCCTTACATACTGTAAACATTTAACATTTTGGATTTATGGGTTTTGGATGGATGCTACTAAAATTACCATAAAGTAAGTTTCTAAGATATGAAATCAGTTTCCTGTCTCTGAATGTTCTGAAAGCCTCCTGTGATGTATGGGCACATTCCTTTAGAAATTATGAAGCAAAATTGCTTACACTTTCACTTTCAATAGGTTAATACTATTTAATCTGCCTTCCCCCCAGGCTACTTATAGAGTACACCTCAGTGGCGCCAGCACTGTCTTGCTTATCTTAATTTGGGATTCAGAGTCTAAGCAATTTACATTTACCCAATAATATATCAAAATGTCTGTACCACCTTACCACACAAAGCTTCAGTTACGTGAGTCACATTTGTGAAGCTACTTCTTAATGATACAGGAGAGGAGAAAGAAAGAAAGAGGAAGTAAAGAAGGAAGAGAGACTGGAAGGATACAGTCATCTAAATAACTGGCTCCAGTTAATTGTGGCAACTTTTAAAACTGGACTTTAAAATCATTATTTAAATGGGCCCAAATGTTCTGAAGGCGTCTTTGAAGAAAGCTGATGTAATTAATAAGGGATTCACATATCCATTTTAATAGATGAGAGAAATGATACAGAGAGATTTTGGAAGCCTGTACGAAACAGCCTGTGAAAGGAAGCTCAGCTGTCCATGATCAGGCAGCTAGATTTTGAAGTTCTGGGTCAAGATTAATCGGGTCAACGTTTCATTGTTATCACCATCTCGTTTTAACCACAACCTGTGAGCTACCGTACAGCACATGCTTTTACTCAATATGAAAATCATCTTTGTTTTTTTAAAAGAAAAACAGAGCAGAAGCTGAAGAGAGTGGAAGGGTCAGAACCTTTCTTAACTTTGAGCTGAGTAAATACTCCCACTGGTTGTTTTTATGTGGTGAGTTGTTCCTTAGTGGGAAGGGGTGGGCTCACTTGGACGGGCCTTAATAGGAGACGTTCAAGTGAAGAGACCCTTGAGGTTGTGGTCCTACTCTGTGACCCAGCATCCCGCTTCATCCTTGCATTTTTGTCATCAGCAGGGGATGGACCCACTAGGGACAGAAGAGGAGTAAATGTCCAGCAAGGCAGTTCCTGTGGGAGCAGGGACACCCTCTCCTAAAAGAAAGAACCCCTATTCCAGGGGTGACTCCTGCAAGCTCCACCAGGAAGCAGTAATTTTAACAATTACAAAATGTAGGAGTCGAAGTGCACTTTCCTATCATGGAGCTTCATGAAATATAGAGAAAATTTGAGTGAAATGAGGAGAAAAAGGTTTAAGAACAGGGGAACAGGTTAAATATTTTGTGGCTGCTGGGTGTTTCTTCCTTTAGTGCTCAGAGAGGCATAGGAAGACCGAGGTGAGTAAAGACATCACCCACAGAATGAGTCTTTGATGCGTGTGGATTCTGATTGAGAGTTTGGAAGAGAGATGAGAAAGAAAAGGGGGACAGGGGAGGGAGGGCGCGGAAAGGTAAGACCTACTGGAGAGAAGAGGTGGGACTCCGACTGCCTGGAAGACAGGCATTCCAGTGAGCGGGACCTCACACTCTGCCGCTGGTTTGGGCCTCCCTGAAGCTCCCAGCCATGTGTCTCCTGGGCAATCGCTTGGCAATGCTCCTTGTAAATGCCAGCGCAGGGTGCAATGCTGAAATGGATTAGCGCTTTACCCTCCAGGCTATTTTCTCACCCTCTGAAGAACTTGTAATTGGAGTGGAATAATAATAACGCTTTAACTTTTTATACAGTTTTACAACTTGAAAAGACACACATTTTAACGTTTGAAAATGCATGGGTTTCTCATTTTAGTTAATGAGCTGAATCTAATCCGGGATTGCAGTTGAGGCTCACAGAAACTTAATCTGAGGACATTACTGTACAAATAGTGCTGGTCGTCTAGCACATGCAAACTTTTTTCTGTAAAATAACATTAACCAAATTAGGGCATGACGTTGAGTTCTGAAACCTCACTACCAAGAATCATCAGAACAGATTTTTCTTTCTTTTTTTCTTCCAGTTATTGGACACAATATTTTTCTGTATTTCAAAAGAGTGAGCCTGTGACAGGATCCTCTGAGTGGACAATTATAGTTATAAGTTGAATTGCATCACCATGGGTTTAAGTAGATGTCATTATAATGGTCATGAAAAGTAGTAATATGGATGCCATGTTACTAGGATGGCCTTCCAAGAATGACAAGGCGTTTTTCCCCACCCCGAGGCCTGACACATTGTGCTCACATCTGCCCTTGACAGGCAGGGCAGGGTCCACTCAGGTCTGGACCAGGCATCCTGCTTCAGGGCACAACACTCTTCGCCACTACTGGGCCGGCCTTGCTTACCACTGTCTGAATGCGGTTTTATAACAAAGTTTGCTTAAGTTATTGAGTTTTAACATGCAGCAAATTGTTCAGCAGCCCCTTTAACTCTCTAGAAAATGCTTAGGCTGTGAGTTATAAAATTGTAAACCGCATAAAGGTCCAGCTTAGATTTTTCTTGTTCCACTGTGTTCTGTTATATACTAAAGTATCACAGAGTGCATGTGGGACAAATATTTACTGAATGAATGAAAAATTATAAATATTTATGGAATGAATGAGTAAATGATAAATGACACAAGATATGAATTTAAGTTTTGACATCTTTGATAGTTT